CAGGTAGGGGAGGAACGGTGCCGATAGCTGCGTAGAAGGTGGAGGCTGAATGATAAGACCGTCCACAGAAAAGGCAGCGATGAACTGAGTTTATTAAATAACGTGCCTGAGTAGGGATGGGTGAAATACCCACAATGCACTGCTTTCTAAACGCTGCCTCCTCCACATGCCCCATACTCTACCCTAGGCAGAACAAGAGCCAGCACAAGCCACCGGCTTAAGGCTCTGGATTTGAAACTCTGCCTGGACGGAGTAACTTGTCATCATTAAAGCATTCTTAAATAAATATGCACTCGAGATCTGGAAGCATTTGCCTGCATGAGTGAAGCCCTAAGCCCTTCTTTTCTGCCTCCCTAGGATCAACGTTGCGCCAGCTGAATGACGATTACCTCTGATCGTGTAAATTAGGGGAGGGTGACTCCACAAAGGAGGGAAATCAAATCAGGCCTGGGCTTTCCAGGCCAGTGGTCCCAGAAGTAACACACGGGGAGCTGACAGTAGGGTGAAGAAGAGGCTAGGGCAGGAAGTCAGGTGGAAACACATATGAGGTTTTGGTGTAAGGTAGCAGGACGAAAACCTGGGCAGGGTGAGCGCCACTCCGGAGCTAAGGAGCAGCCCACAGGCACTGTCAGGGTCAGCATGCTGGGGAGGAGCCAGGTCAGGAACCAAGGCTGCATTCCTCCCAGAATCGGTGGTTGACTGACGCTACAAGGGCACATACCAGAGTCTAGGGGTGAGCACTTCTTGAGGTCAGCCCTGATTGCCAGAGGCCTGGCCCTAGTCATGGGCAGGCGATGCAGACTTGGCATGGCGCGAACCTGGATCTTTACTCTCAAGGTAGACAATGTTGATAGTTTAAAAATACTTTTTGCCAAGTGTGGTGGTGCATGCCTTTAATCCCAGCACTCAAGAGGCAGAGGCAGGTAGATCTCTGTGAGTTTGAGGACAGCCTGGTCTACACAGTGAGTTTCAGACTACCTGGGGCTACAGGGAGACCCTGTCTCAAAAAAGACCAGAAAAAAAAAAAAAAAAATGTCTTTTTAAGACTGGTGGCTTGGTGGGTAAAGGTGCTTGCTGCCAAACCTGATGCCTTGAGTTCACCCAGGAAACAGGGTGTAAGGTGAGAAATGACTCCTGAAAGTTGTCTTCTGACCTCCATGGGCACACACACACACACACACACACAAATATGTGGGAAAAAAATTTTAGGCCCAGTGTGGTGGCACACTCCTTTAATCCCAGGACTTGGGAGGCAGAGACAATTGGATCTCTGTGAGTTTGAAACCAGTCTGGTCTACAAAGTGAGTTCCAGGCCTCATCAATGACCAGCACAGCAAATGACATTGGTGCAGTAGTGGCACTTTTATCTTGGGGCTGGTAATCAAGAGCTACTTAATTGGACTTAAAGTCCACTCAATGGGAGGAAACTCATGTGTGGTACTGTAAACCTAGCCAAATACACATAGCTAGAAAGGTCATACATAGATCTTAGAGACTCATAGGGACCTACAGCAATGGTGTCAGCATGCACAAGACCCTTGCAAACTCAAGCAGACAAAAAACCAACACAAAACTGTGGAAATGGGAAGCAGGCCCTAATCTTAGTTGAAGAATCATTGGCAGCTGATTACTGTTTGGTGAGGAAGAGCTGATCTTCTTAAAGGGAGGGACTCTAGATCCCAGTGGATGAACTTGAACTGAGGGACATCTGGAGACATTAACTTGACAAGACAGATCTTAACACAAATGTCAGAATGTATGAATTCAAGTGGGGGGATTATGGGAGGAGGCCAGTGGGGAAGGGGGTATAAAGATGGTTAAGATGTTCTATATGAAATACACAAAAATTCAATAAAAAAATTTAAAAAACTATATATTTTTCTTTTATTATTTTTAATTATGTGTGTCTGTATGGGGGTTATGTGCAGTACCTGAGTCCAGGCACCCACAGAGGCCAGAAGAGGGTGACCCATCCCCTGGAACTGGAGTTAGAGGTTATTGTGAACTGCCTGATGAGGGTGCTGGGAATTGAATTCAGGTTCTTTGGAAGAGCAGTATGTGCTCTTAAACCACTGTGCCACTTCTCCAGCTCACAAATGCAATTTCTCAACTAGACCAGAAAGAGCAATTCTGGGATTTGATCTTTACCATCCTTTTCCTGACAGTCCACAGTTATGAGAAAACAGTCAAGCCCATTTCAATATCCAGGGAGCAGCAATTGTTTAAAGAAGCACATTGAGGTACAGATGACAGTGCGGTCATTGAAAATCATATGTGGGGGCTGGGGAAATGGCTCAGTGGGGAAAGCATTTGCCACGCAAGCATGAGAACCCAAATTTGAATTCCTTAGCACCCAAGTAAACAGCTAGGCATGGTGCTGCCTGCTTGTAATCCAGGTGCTGGGAGGCAGAGACAGGTAGATTCCTGGAGCTCACTCACCTGCCAGCATAACCAAATAGGTGGACTTCAGGTTGAGTGAGAGATGTAGTCTCAAAAAATAAGGTGGAGAGTGATTGGGAAAGACACCTGGTGCCAACCTCTGGCTTTTACACAAATGAGAGAGAGAGAGAGAGAGAGAGAGAGAGAGAGAGAGAGAGAGAGAGAGAAAGGGAGTGAGAGAAATTAAAAATTCATATGAGGAAGGGTACACCGTACTTTGCTTAAAATAGCACTCTGTATGATTCAACTTAGGAGGAACTTGTAAAAAAATAAATCATTAATAACTTGTAATGTGAACCAAAAGGACAGCAGCACTTATCTCTGAGTCACCGGGTTACTCCTGGCTTTCCTTTTCATTTTAGAGCTTTGCTCATTGTACATTTCAAATTGTAATAACTATATATTAATTTTTCAATCAGAAAAGGCCATTATTTTACCAAGATTCAAGTATATACCCTGTGTGGTTTTGAAGAAGTTGGCCAGCAAAATGTGCTGATTTCAGGTCATGGACGGGGGCAATCAAAGAGCATCAAAAAGGCAGATTTTGTGATCTCAAGGGTGCCATTCTGCTCTGAGTGCTTCAAGGCCTGGAGGCTCCAACGTTTTATTCTAGAAAGGTCCAGGTTTGGAAGGAACAACTCCTCACTTCTGTGGCTGAGAAGTAATCTGCACCAAACATACTGGATAGATGTGGTTGTGTCTCAATAAAGCTTTATTTATAAAGAAAGTAGTTTGGGCTAAGGAGATAGCTTAGTGCTTAAAGTGCTTGTCATACACGTGTGAGGCCCAGAGTTCAGATCCCCAGAACCCAAGTAAATGCTGTGTGGGCGTGGCAGCCTGCAATTCTAGTGTTCAGAAGTTTGGAAACAGGATCCCAGAGCAAGCTGACCTGCTGGACCAGCAGTACCATGCAGCCCTGGGTTCAATGGACAGAGTGCCTCAATGACTATGATGGCATGTGATCCAGGAAGACTCTTGACATCAACTCCAGGCCTCCCTCCACACACATGCACTCACACACATGCATATGCGTGGTCACCCCCATACATGTGAGTATGCATACACACATGCATGAATACCATGTCACACATAGCCATGAAACAAAGCCAAAACCAAACCTAAACGAAGCACCACTGCCTGAAGAACTCCAGCTGACGGTGTTTATAAGCCTTTAGGTCTTTCCTGGTGGTACTTTGGAACCTTACCACCCGCTTCCTGTTTCGCACGCATTTTCTTGGCCCAGTCAAGGCCCCAAAGGAGTCCACTCGTTACATAGCTCTTTCTTATGACCATTTGACATGGTTCCAGTCTTCATCATTCTCCCCACACCTTGTCAATGAGGTAGATAGTATTAAAACCTCCACAGCTTCTAGATGCAGGCTGTTCCCCTCACAGGTCCTCATGGAACCCACAGCCCTGTCACAGGTGAAGCTTGTGGTTCCATCAAAACATTCACTCCTAAGAGAAGGTAATTAATCACAATGCCTCCCCTGGAAGAATCTGGGGTAAAAGCCAGGCCAGAAGATGGATTTAAACTAAAAAAAAAAAACAAAAAACCTTAGGAGTATGCGTGCGTGTGTGTGTGTGTGTGTGTGTGTGTGTGCGTGTATTTGTGGAAATGAGTGCAGGTGCCTGTGGACACCAGAAGAGGGTGTTGGATCCCCTAAAACTGAAGTTATAGGCAGTTGTGAGCTGTCCTATATGGGTGCTGGGAACAGAACTTGGGTCCTCTGCAAGACCAGTATGTCCTCTAAAATGCTGAATCATCTCTACAGTTTCAAATAGATGGATTTTTTTTTTTTTTTTTTTTTTTTTTTTTTTTTTTTTTAGTTTCCCTGTAGCCACAGCTGGCCTGGAACTCACTACATAGACCAGGTTGGCCTTAACCTCACAGAGAGCTCCCTGCCTCTGCCTTCTGAGTGCTGGGATTAAAGGCGTGAGGCGCCATGCCTGGCTCCAACAGATGGATTTTAAGCAATGCTAATTAACAAAATACTTGACTAAAATTTGCAAGAGTCAGCATGGTCCCTGGGGTGAATAAACTACAGGAGTTACCCTGATTCCCAGGCTACATGTGTGAGTGCATGTATATATATGAACATCCATATGATATAGTATGCACATGTATCTGACTGCGTTCATTTTTCCAAGCACTTTTCATTGATTTTTATGAGACAAGATCTCATATGACTAGGATGACCTTGAACTTCTGATCCTTTTGAATTCCACCTCCCAAGTGCTGAGATTATCACTCAGTACAAATAGTCACTGAGAAGGTGTATGTTAAATGTAACGGTCAGGACCAAAATCCTGGAATTCCACATTCCATCATCTTCTGTATCTCTTGGGGCAACCACAGAGGGCCAGTAGGAAGGACACAGAAATGAGAAGAAAGGAAAGCTGGAATACAAGACATTCCAAGGCCCAGTCCCAGGGAATTAACCCTCTGAGGTCAAGTGCCCGACCCTCTCTGAGGTCCCAGGCACAGGCCCAGGGCTAGAAGTACTGTGGCCATCAGAGCCATAATGCGAGTGCAGCACAGAGTGAGGGGGGTCACTCACGGTGTCGTTGCTTCCTTTGTTGTCCTCATACTTGGTTTCTATGTGAATGGAGAACTTTGGCAGGAAGGAGCACTATGGAGAAAAAGCAAACTATGATTAGAAACTTGTTTCCTCTTTTCGGATCTTCAGCATGGCTCAGGGATGCTCGCCTGACTGTTTGGTCTGGAATGCTCATTGACAATAAACATGTTAAGATACTCCATCAATAACCATGTTCTCCAAAGAGAAGCCACCACGTTGAGCATCACTTCGTCCAGGAGTCATACCAGAAGCAGCAAATAATGTTGGAAGGCAAGTGAGCCCTGTCACCCACATGGGAAAGCGGACACTGTAGTAGAGGCCAACTTCAGGGTGGGGGCACTCTCTGGATCCCTGGGGACCCACCCTAACTTTTATGTAAATCTGCATATAAAATTAGGGAGGTGGTAGAGTACAACTTTGAGATCAGAGATTACTGAAGTCAGATAGACTTTGCGTGTGTGGGGGTGTGCGAGTGTGTACCTGTAGGTGTGCTTGTGTGTATAGATTCCGACGGTTGAAGATGAGTGTTTTCCTCAGTCACTCGTCTAATTTTTTTTTTTTTTTTTTGAGACAAGGCCTCTCTCTAAACCTGGAGCTCACCAGTTTGGCTAGCAAGCTCTAGGGACTGGCCTGTTTCTGCAGCTGGGATTATGACATGTGCCAACTTTTTTAGCTTTTACGTAGGTATCAGAGATCGAAGTGCAGGTCCTTGTGCTTGGGTGCACTTTAACCAAGGAGCAAACTCCCTAGCCTCTAGACTTTTTTTTTTTTTTTTTTTTTTTTTGGTCTCCCTGTTGTCCCAGCTGGCCTGGAATTCGATATGTAAATCAGGCTGGCCTGAAACTCAAGGGATCCACCTACCTTTGCCTCTTGAGTGCTGGGATTAAAGGTGTCTGCCACCACACCTGGCTTTAAATTGGTTTTAACATGTGACTTTAAGGGGCCAGTGAGATAGCTTAACAGGTAAAAACACTTGCCACTCAAGCTTGGTAATTTGAGTTCTATCCCTGGAAAGCCAGATGTGGTTGTGTGCATTTGTAATCCCACTTCAATAAGGGGATGGGAGGCAGAGGCAGAAGAATTTCTTGGGAGCTTATGGGCTAGCTAGCCTGGAGTACACCACACCACAGAAACAAGATGGACCAAGCCTCAGACCTCAAGACATGGTAGAAAGAGAGGTAACAACTCCCAAAAGATGTCATCTGACCGGCATGCATGTTTGTGTTCAAGTACATACTCATAAACACACACACACACACACACACACACACACACACACACAAATTTTTAAAAATAGGTGTCTTTTAATTATCCCATTAACTTCTTGGAACTCTAGAGTTATTAAAACAGCAATAATTATGTGTTCATAACACTATTAGGGTTACATAAAAGATTGTGCATAGGCCGGGCATGGTGGCACACACCTTTAATCCCAGCACTTGGGAGGCAGAGGCAGGTGGATCTCTGTGAGAGATAGGCCAGCCTGGTCTACATAGCGAGTTCCAGCCAGCTATGAGTACAGGAAGACCCTGCCTCAAAACAAACAAATAGGGGATGTGGGTAAAAATATAGTGTGAAGAGACTGGGGTCACAGCTGTATGGTCAAACGTGTGCTTAGCAAATGTGTAAGATCCTGCATTTATTCCCCAGAACTGAATTGCACAGAACTGAGCCCCGAGGAAGCAGCCTGTGAACAGCAGTGATTGCATGTGAGGCTGCCAGGGGCTTGACCAGAAAAGGCAGCCCCTCTTTTTAACCACACAAAGGACAGAGGCTTAAATGCAAGGTCACCCTAGTGTCCCTGTCTCACCAGGCCCTGCTGTGTCTCCATTAGATTTGAAAGGTCAAGCATCCTGAGATGAAGCTTCCAATGGATGCTGATGGATGTGGGTGTATCAGATGGATGCTGATGGATGTGGGTGTATCAGATGGATGCTGATGGATGTGGGTGTATTAGATGGATGCTGATGGATGTGGGTGTATTCGCCCTCCTGCTGGCACTGAGCTGGGCATTACCTTTGGCCACCAGAGATGGGATTGAAGGCTAATGGATAAAATGACCCAGCAACTCCACTGGGAGCTGTGGGTATTAGAGAAAAAGAGATGTGGCTTGATCGGGTCACAGTCTCAAGAGGCTGGGTCCTTTATGGATTCAACGCTATGCTCTCTGTACCAGACATCTTTTGAATGTTTCCAAGTTCTCAAATATTTGCAAAAATCCCAAGGGGTAAATGCTAGCATTATCATCTTTTCTTTTAAGGTAAGGAATAAAAGCTCAGAGGAGCTAAGCAAGTGGTGCGCTATCACACGGTCAGGGCATTATAGAATCAGTACCGAAAACTAAGTGGCTGAGCTCAGTTTCCATTCTCTTGGTCAATACCCCTGTGGTTTTTCCAAAGTGGGGTAACTAGTGAAAGCATCACCCCAGAACTTTGCTAGACATGTAAAGTCTGGGGCTCCACCCCAGAACCACTGAGTCTGAAAGCCTGGAGGTGGAGTCCAGCAATCTGAGTCACATAAACCCTTCCGGGGCAAGCTAGGGGCATGCTCCAGTTGGGAAATTGGCTCATGGCTCTATGCTTGGGAAGGAAACAGAGACAGTGTAACAGCTCAAGTCTCAGTATCCACTAATACCACCCACATCTCATGGACTTCATCTCCACGATGACCACACTCCCCTTTCAGCCCAGCTGAGGCCCCCAGGGATGTCTGTACAAGAAGGCAGAGGATTTGCCATGGCTAATTCTCTTGACACCACATGCCTGCATGCACCTGGCATCTACCTGTCTTAACCCAAGGGAAGCAATCTGAACTATGACTAAGGAAACACAGAGACAATCAATCCCAGCAATTGCCTTGATGGAGAGCGAGACCCTGCGATGATTCATTAACACCCTCTCTGCTGTCTCCTGCCCAACCTCGCACCCTGCAACCACTGCCCTCACACCCATTTCCAGGGACTACCAAGGAGGGGCTGATCATTGCAAATCGAGACCCTGGGGGACTTGGAACTTTGATTGACTCATGAGCATTGGGAGTTGTCCTTGCAAAGAGACCCTCTTAAAAATAACAAGCTCTTAGGGAAATCAATTTTGTGCTTTCCAACCCGTAATTCATCTTCAGGTTAATCCAGTGAGTGGTGAAAGGAGAGGACAGTGCAATGCAGGGTGAGTGGGTCTCCGGTGTCAAGTGAAAAGATGCATAGTGTGTGTGTATGTGTGTGTGTGTGTGTGTGTGTGTGTGTGTGCGACATAGTGTGTGTGTGTGTGTGTGTGTGTGTGTGTGTGTGTGCATGTGTGTGTGTGTGTGTGTGTGTGTGTGTGTGTGTGTGCACGTGTGCCTGAGTGGAGGCTAGAGATTGATGTTGGGTATCTTCTCTATCATTTGCCACCTTTTTTTTTGGGGGGGGTGGGTTCAGACAGAGTTTCCCCATGGCCCCAGCTTGCCTGGAACTCACTATGTATCAGGCTGGTCTTGATCTCACAGAGATCCGCTTACCTCTGCCTCCCAAGTTCTGGGACTATAGGAATGCACCACCATCTCTCATTTTTTAAGAGTGTCTTTTGCTCAACCTAGAGTTTGCTGAGTAGGCGAGGTTGTCTGGCCAAAGAGCCCCATGATTCCCCTGAGTCTGCCTCCCCAGTACTGATATTACAGGTGTGCCATCATATGCAACTTTTTACATGGGTGTCAAGGATCCAAACTCAGATCCTCATGTCCATGTGGCAAAGCACTTCCACAACTGAGCCATTTCCCCAGCCCGTGTTTCTTTTCCCCAAGTTGATCGTCTAAACATGTAACTAGGTCAAAGTAATAACTGTCAACATTTGGGTTTAAAACCCAAAAATGAAATGCAAAAGGCTCCTATGCAAATTAACAGATGTTGTTATTTTGAATTGAGGGTGGAGGTTATTTTCTTATCCCAATGGCAATCTAGTCTGCCACAAGGCTGTGAGTGCACTTGCCTTCAGCTTGGAGGAAGGAGGACAGGGACCAAATAACCCCTCTTGTATGGCCAGTGTGTTTTGAGGGGGCAAGTGGGATGGGGCTGATAATCTCTTTGTGATGACTGATAGCTTCTTCATGGGGTGCTGGCATGTGCTGGTGTCTCAAGTTAAAATCAGAAGTCTCAGGTCAGGGAGATGTCTCAGTAGGTAAACGCACTTGCTGGCAAGCCTGACAACTTGAGTTGGAGCTCCAGAACCCACGTGGTGGAAGGAGAGAACCGACTCCCACAAGCTACCCCCTGACCTCCACATGTGTGTCATGACTTGTGCATACATACACACATACACATGCACAAAGAAAACAACTGTGAAAAAATAACCCAGAAGTTTCTGTGGTTCTGGGTGCTTTAGAAGTGCAGCTCTTGGGTGGGAAGTTTGTCTTTTAAAAATATTTTTAATTAATTAATTTTATGTGTCTGAGTGTTTTACCTGGGTGTATGTAAGTGCACCCATGTATGCAGAACCCAAGGAAGTTAGAAGAGGGCATTGGAGTCTCCTGAAACTGGAGTTACAGATAGTTGTTAGCTGCCATGTGGGTGCTGGGAACTGAACCCGGGTCTTCTGTAAGAGCAGCCAGTGCTCTTATTTACTGAACCATCTCTCCAGCCCCCAAAGAAGTTCATTTTAAGATTAGCTTCTGGGTAGGGGAGATGCTTCAGCTAAAAATCTAAGTTCAATCCCAAGTACCCACATAGAAGGTGAGTCCAGCAGTGCCTGCCTGTAACCCCATTGCTAGGGAGGTGGGGATAGGAGAATCTGTGGGGCTTGCTGGCCAGTCCGTCTAGCCAAATCAGCAAGCCCCAGGTTCAGTGAGAGACACTGTCTCAAAAAACAAGATGGAGAGGGACTGAGGAAGAGACTCAATGTCAACCTCTGGTCTCTGTCCACCCATGCACACACATGTGCACACACACAAATGAAAAAATAAACTTCTGCCTGTCCCACAAAGGTCAGTGTCTTTAGAAATAGAGCCCACAATTTTTAGCAAAGCTTTCCAGTGAGGCAGTCTTCCGTCCCTCCCCCAGGAACCATGTTATCCCATGT